TGTCCCATGCAAAAATTCAACCATCTCTCCATCCATCTATCCATCTCTCCATCCATCCATCCATCCATCCATCCATCCATCCATCCATCCATCCAGGCATTCATCCATCCATCCATCCAGGCATTCATCCCTTCCTCCCTTAATACTCTCCAGCATGGGTCAGATGCTGACAGGCACAACAGAACCCATAGAGAGTAAATATATGACATGCCTAATTCTTTCTTACACTATTGACTAGAGGCATCTAAATGAACGGTTGGCATTAAGGAACAAAAAAGAGGGCCCAGTAATTAAGTGAGGGCGGTAGAAGTGAGAACCAAAGATACATTTCTGGTTAGGTTTTTACAGAAAATTTGCCTTTCCCCTTTCCTCTTCAGGCAAAATAAGCTTTTTAAGCTTTCATCTTAGCCAAGCGTATCTCTCATTAAGTCCTGCCTTGACTCTTTCAGACACTCAATTCTCAATTTTCATTCTCACTTAATATTAAGGAAAGAGGGAGGCTGAAGCAGGTGGATTACCTGAGGTAGGGAGTTCGAGACCAGCCTGACCAACATGGAGAAACTCCGTCTCTACTGAAAATACAAAATTAGCTGGGCATGGTGGCACATTCCTGTAATCCCAGCTACTCAGGAGGCTGAGGCAGGAGAATCTCTTGAACCCGGGAGGGGGAGGTTGCAGTGAGCCTAGATGGTGCCATTGCACTCCAGCCTGGGCAACAAGAGCAAAACTCCGTCTCAAAAAAACAAAAACAAAACAAAACAAAACCCCAAAACAAAAAACAGAAAAAAACAAAAACCAAAGAAGCTTGTTTAGACTTTGTGCATAGCCTGTGTATCTACTAGGATGTATATTCCATGAAGGCAGGGATTTTCGTTCATTTAATTAACTTCTGTGTGCTGAACAAATATTGATTGGATGCTGAATAAAAGAATGTTTTGAATTTTGCACTCAGTCCTCCCTTAAATCAGAAATCAAAAGAACAAACTTTGCTTTCATCCCTTTTACTTTTCTCTCCCCTTTTCTTCACTTGAGGTAATTTTGTCTTATGTTGCTGGAGAAAAGGGTTTATTCTACAGCAATGGAGTTAGGATCAACTGTGTGCAGACAGCATATATGTGTGGAATCATCTCACATCATCCATTGTTATACACATTTCAACCATGCAGTTTTCCCTTAAATGATACATATTCTCCTCCTATGGTCTGTTGCCTATATTATGATATGTCAATAAATGAAACCAATAAATGTAGCTATAATTTAACTGATTTAAAAAAAAATTCAATTCAATTAAGATGGTTAGTCCTGTAGCTCAGTGCACATACATTTTCACACAGGTCACACCAACTTTTGCTCTTTGGATCAATTACATGAAAGTTGAAGCTACATATAGTGCAGATGGAGCTATATATGGTGCAATTTTGGGCCGTTAGCCATCATTTGCACAGATTTATAAATGAGTATTTGTGTTTATTTTCAAAAGGGGATTCCTCAGGGAGTTGGAAATCCTTCTTGAGAGGTTTGATAGTTCTTTGTTTACCCAAAGCCCTTTTTCAGAGGGTAGGAAAGTCACTATGGTTGAAGTCAGCACATTGGTTCTCACGTGGGCTAAGGCTGCTTAACTAAAGGTCGGTGTGAATGCTAGTGCTCCTCCAGGGATAAGAAGCAGATTATTTAAAGATTTCATTCCTAGAGCTCTGCTTTTGTGTGGGCTTCCCCTCAACTTGCAATTGTGGACTCTTAGAATTCTTCATGAATGCATTCTTAAAGTCATAGTCCCCATCACATTTTTTAAAAATGTGGATTTGTTTTATTATTTTTTAAAAACTAAATATGAATGTTTCTCATTACTCGAATAATTCATATGCATGAATAAAATTTATGAAATATAGAAGGTCATAAAAAGGAAATTCAACTATCCACAATTCCACTATATGGAGATAACCCTTTATATTTTGATATATTTAAGTCTTTTTCAATGACTACACATATGTGTATATTCTTTTTATAAAAATAGAATAATTTAATGTGACCTGAATTCAATCACTTAACATATCTTAAACAGTTTTACTTGTCAGTAATATTTTTTGAAATTTTATATTTTAAGGTTGCATAATATAGCATTGTATTCATGTGTCATAATTTATTTGTTTTTCCATTGTCAGGCATTGATTTTTCAGCTACCCTAAATCATCCTAAAAGATAAATCTTTGTAATGAACTGTATAATTCCTTTGGGATAAATTTCAAGATCTGGTATTTCTGGGACAAACGTGGTACACGTATTTTCAAGGCTTTTATATATACAGTCCAATTTTTCCATACACAGAAATAATTTATTGCTCCACCCACTGTGCCTAACTGTGCATGCTTCTATGTACAGCCTCAGTGCAGCTATTTTTTCCTTCCTTCATTATATGATTTAAAGAGGATTTACCCTACCTTGGTGCCAAGGGTGGCCCTGAATGCTTTAAGCCAACCTCCTTTTCTACAATGATTGGTCCAGGCACGAGTATTTAACACAGACCTAATCCAATTGGAAGGTGCCATTTCCCTGAATGTGATGATTAGTTAAGAATTGGTCACATGACCTAAATTTATCCAGTCAGAACGGATGTCAGGCGTGTACTGGTTGAGAAAAGTGATACACTTTTTCCCAATGACATGCTAAGAAACTGACTCCTGGAATTACTGGAGCTGGCCATTTTGCCTCCATAATGGTAGCCACCTTAAGCACAATGCAGATAGATAGAACTGATCTAAAGTATTAGAACTGGAGCTGGATCACTGATTAAATCATGCCTAAAAACAAATCTACTTCTGAATTTGAAAAACTTTAAGAGTCCACTCATCTTTCGTGTAGTTATTTTGAAGTGATTTTCTGTTATTCACAACCAAAAACATTTAAACTAATAAATCTGTGTGCTCTTTTAAATAAAACATTTTTTGCTAAAATACAGGCAAAAAAATAGTTCATTGCTGTTTCAGTTTATAATTATTTAAATGATTTTTAAAATATATTTAATATTGGCCATTTGGTATTCCTTCTTTATGAATAACTTTGGATTCTATAAATATTTTTAAAAATTGTGTCTTCACGTGTTGCTTCTTACAGAATTAAAAGGAAGAAACTTGTAGTCAGATTCATTGGAAAATTTTCCATGTAGGTTACCTGTTTTATAATTTTGAATATTATTTTAACATATTCAGAAATATATAGATTTTGTACATTAAATTTATCACTTTGTCTTTCATAGACTTTATCTTGGCTCATATTCTTTGCCATTCTAAAGCCAGAGAGATAGTAATTTATATTTTCCTCTAGTTCTGTATATTTGTGCTTATCTACACTTTTAAATTTTTCTTTAATTTGAAAATTATTTTGGTGCACTGTGTATGATAGGGCTAAACTTTACTTTCTTCCAGATAGTGACAACAACTAAATATTTGAGGCAAATAATCTTCAAATATAAAAATACCAATACACCATTTGTTGTTTTGTTTTTCTTAAATTTCCTCCCTGGAAAGTAGGAAAAGTTTTTCTTATTGGTTTTTTATTCAAGGTGTGAATTTTAAAAATCCATTTTTTATAAGCAACTTTTATTCTGAATTGTATTTTTGGCCCATGTGGGGGTGTTGGTGCTATGACTAAGATTAGATGTTTCTATGGCTGCAGATTACTTTTTTTTTAAGAGACAGGAACTTGCCTTTATCTTTCAAGTCCTATACAAAAGGCCTAGCAACTGGCTCACTGTATCCTATAAATACATTTTACCAACACTTTGTAGTGGATATTCAAACAGGAAGTGGAGAACCAGGAACTAGAAAAAAATAGTCGTCCTAAATCTGCTGTTCAGAGATTAACACCAACAAAAAGGACCATGGCAGTTCTTTATTTTTTCTTTGAATTGCCATCTTTTATGTCCCAACCACATAGAGATGCGAAAAGAAGTTTTAGGCCTTATGGGGAATTTTCTGATGAAAAGTTTTTAAAGGACTTTGGTACAGAGCCGCTTAATGAAGTGAAAAAGATTTAGGCAGTTTATGAAGGCCTGCAGTGAAAACAAGCACGTCACAACGATTTAAAAGTCGGGGGCATTTTAGCAGATTTATATAAGGGACACAGGGCTGATACTGTCCCATTATTGCAGGATGATCTCATTCTAAGTGGACTGAATGGGATACTGATTCTGTTTTGGATCGGTAGGCCTGTGTGGTGAGTGGACTTGACTGTGTGTTCTTCAGAGTGTAAGGGTCTTTATGGAAATGATGGTTTAATTTAAATGTGAGAGAATAAATAAAAAATAGAAATTGCCAAAAGAGGCCATGGAATGCTGGAAAGCTTTTATAGATATTTATAATGTCCTCTGATGCCTACATGGCATGAAGAAATAGAACTAGGAGGAGTGAGTGGACTCTACTCTGTGCTCTTCTGAGTGTAAGGGTCTTTATAGAAATGATGATTTAATTTAACTGTGATAGAATAAGTAGAAATTGTCAAAAGAGGCCGTGGAATGCTGGAAAGCTTTTATACATTTTTATAATGTCCTCTAATGTGTACATGGCATGAAGAAATAAAAATAGGAGAAGTGAGTAGTGGTTACTCCAATTGATTTTTGCTCTTAAGTATCATTTCCATCTATCTTACCTATTCACATATATTACTACTGCTTTACTCTGGACCAGGGATTGGCAAACCTTTTCTGAAAAGGGCCAAATAGTAAATATTTTAGGTTTTGCAGGCCATATGGTCTCTGTTGCAACTCAACTCTGCTGTTATAGTATGACTACAACCATAGACAATACGTTAACAAACTGTTGTGGCTGTGTTCTAATAATACTTTATTTGCAAAAACAGGTGGTGGGCCTGGTTAGGCCTGTGAGCTATGGCTTGTTGTCTCCTGACTGAGACCTGTGGCATCTCTCACCAGGGGTTTTGTAATGGTTTCTCTTACTTATGATGAGTTCACTTCATTTCAGTTCCATAATCATTTATTGTTTTAGGGATTCACAATGCAAACATCCTGTCCTTGAAGAAGTCCAGAGGAAACACAGATGTGAAAGCCCACAACATGAAAGGAACGAGGTAGGGTTGCTCTCTTTATTGCTAGCAGGTTGGCTTTCTAGAAGAGATTATTCTTTGCCTCTTCTGCTAAAACTCATTTAGTTGTACCTTGTGCCATCATCACAACTTTTTAGTGAGGCAAGTTTGTCTTTCATTATTTGTTGATCTTTCCTATAACTATCTTCCTAGACTCATCTTTTTCATTTTCTACTTTTACACCTTAAGTTCTAACCACCACAAAACACAGTACTAGCTACAGAACAACATACACCATCATGCTCTTTTACACTCTGTGCTTTTGCATATGCTGTCTTGGAATGACCTCCCTTTAGTATTCCCACGTCCAACAAAAGGAAGAATTTTCTAACCAGGTTTCTGAGGATCATAATGGACTACCTTGTTGGGTGGAGGAGAGGGAGTTATGGGGAGTTCTTTCTCACTTGAAGGTATTCAAGCAGGGATTGGCTAAATACTTGGCACATTTATCAATGTTGTTAGAGTCTTGCCCTTTAGCAGGCCCTGAAACCAACCCTGGTTGCTACAGGTGTTGACTGATCATGGCACACACCTGTATTCTTTTTCTGAGGATTTTCCTAAGCTGATGGGAGCCACCTTCCCTGGAGATGCCTTTAGCCCTCTCTCTTCTTTCTGCCTTTATCCTTTCTCTTAACTCCAGCTTGCAGCCAATGACTGCCTGATGTGGGGCTGTAACCACGCAGTAACCTTGCTGTTGGAAAGACCAATTCTGTTATAAGAGCCCCCCAGAGGACCAGGGTGTGACTAAAATTCTCCTGAAACCACATCTATGCCTCATTTCTTCCTCTGTCCTGTCCTGCTTCACACCTTTGCAGGTTTCTTCTGAGAACATTTCTTTAATGAATTACTTATAAAGGAATCTTAGAAGAGCCGTAAGATTAAATGACTTTTAAGATTTCATATTCATCTACATGATTCTGAGTATGAAAAGAAGACATTGCATGGTTGAGTTAAAAATATGAATTTTGAAATCAAACAGAATGGGCTTCAATCCTATCTGTATTACTTAGTGGGTCACTTAGGTAATTTTAACAGTCTCTAATTCTCAATGTTCTCATCTATAATATTGGGAAAATAACAGTATCCACCTCGAAGAGTTGTGAGGATTAAAAGAAATAATGCATATAAGTTTAGCAGTGTCTGGCCATAAAATATATTCAATAACATTTAATACTTTTATGATCATCATCATCATTACTATATTTTTCCAAACAGAAAATACAAAGGTGATTTTTTAAATTCCTTTTAATGCAATAAGAAAATTGTCTGGGTAAAGTAACAGGAACAGTGAAAAATGCACATGTTTGCATTTTATGGTGTTTGATGAATATATTTGGTTTCCCCACTGAGGACAGTCTTGTCTATGTACTTTTAGCCAAGTTCATAGCATATATTTATTAAATATTTATTTCTAAATATAAAGACATATTGGATTAAAAAGGGATTTAAATTCTTGAGTAGTCAGCAAACTACAAACAAAAGATTAAACATAATTGAATTTAAGAAGGGAAAACAAATCCATGATTTGTATAAAAAGTGGTACATTCTAATATGTCTAGTCTTGTTATGCCACACATATGTGACCCATGCATTACAGACTTTGCCATGGTCTAGAAATTACAGTCCTTTTCAATGCCCAAATAAGTCTGATTCTCAAATACACTTGAAATAGAAAGTACTGCCATTTTACCAGGTTCCCAACTCTTATCATGTCCTAAAATTCTTGACTAACATGTTCACTTCACATATTCCACAAAACTGTCTGGATGTAATTTGCTGTTTCACCCAGCTTTCTGACTGTGGGCCTTTGCTCCAATGTTCTGCAAGTTACTTACTGGGGTCTTGGGAGTGGTTCTTCCTGTGCTGCTACTCTCCTCTAAACTACTTTGCTAAAAGTGGGGACACAATTTCATTCCTTAATTTCCCACAGCATAATTGAGCCTGAGCTGCTGTGTCCATCTCAGGTTACTGAAGATTTATGGATGGACAAAGAGGAATGAACAGTTAGGGCAGATTACATTTTCCTAAGATGGCCACACCATCCTAAATGTTCTTCATGTGATGGGTGATTCTATTAGTTTTTTATTGCTGAATACCAATTTACTAAAAATTTAGTGGTTTCAATAATACCTATTTATTATCTCTCGCAGTCTCTGTTGATCAGAGTCCAGGCATGGCTTAGCTGGGTTTTCTGCTTCAGGATCTCACCAGGCAGTAATCAAGGCATTGCCTGGACTACATTCTCATTTGGAGGTTCTGGCTGGAAAGAAGTCACTTCCAAGCTTGCTCAGGTTTTTCCCTCTGTAACTTGCAACTCTAGGCCTGAGACTCTCAGTTCCTAAAGGCCACCTAGTTACTTGACCTATGAACCTATCTATAGGCGGTTTCCATCAAAGCAACTTGTTTCTTCAAGGCCAGGAGAACTTTGCTTGCCCGTCTGTCAAGATGAGTCTTATATGGCATAGTAGCATCCTGGTAGTGACATCACATCATCTTTGCTATATAACATACAAGTCTGCTCAGGCTGTCATAACAAAATACCATAGATAGAGTGACTTTATGACAAAAATTTATTTTCTCACAGTTCTAGAGGCCAGAAGTCCAAGATCAGGGTGCCACTATGGTTGGTTTCCGGTAAGGGCTCTCTTCCTGACTTGCAGACTGCTATGTTTTTGCAGTATTATCACTTGTTGGAGAGAGAAATAGAGAAAGAAATAGAGATTTCCAGTGTTTGTTCTTATACGTACACTAATCTCATCATGAGTCTCCAACCTCATGATCTAATCATCCCCAATGGACCCACCTTCAAATACCATCACATTAGGGGTTAGAGTTTCAACATATGAATTTTGAGTGAACAAAAAGATTCATTCCATAAAACAGAGCCCAATTAAGGTCACAGCATAACACCACATTTATCTCATAACATAATCTAATCAAGGTTTTTGTCATACTTTGCAGTTTAGAGGCAAGTCTTCAGTTCTACTTTCAAGGAGAATGAATTACATAAGTGTGTCTCTCGTTGGAGTCACCTTAAAGTGTGTTTGCTGTAGTAATGTTGACACACTCTTCCATCAAGAGGTGGGGACCAGTATGTTTCTTTCTATTGAATGAGTCCTTCTTTTTGACTTGCTTCTATTATGTAGGATGCAGTGGAAATGATGCTTTGTGACTTCTGAAGTTAGGTCAAAGGACGTGGTATAATCCTTTCCTTCCCTCGTCTCAAACTCTTTCTTTCATTCTTTATCTGTTTCAGGACATACATCCTTGGAATCATGAGGTGCTGTGAAAAAAAAGCCTATGACCCTGAAGCCACTATGTTGGAGAGACTTCAGGGAAAGGCCCATTTGGAGAGGAGAGGCCATCAGTCAACAGCAGGCATCAACTACCTGACATAGGAGGGCAGTCTTTAGATAATTGCACTTTGTCATCTTTGAGTCTTCCATCTGAGACCGCAGACATTATAAGGCATAGACAAGCCACCTCTATTGTACCCTGTTGGACTCCTTAATCCATAAAACCTAAAAGCAAAATAAATGGTTGCTTTATATTGTACATGTTTATTAGTGTGAGAGCAATCTGTTGTGTGATCATAGTGACTGAAGCAACAATGAAGAAAATAATTTAAAACTAGCTAATCTACTATACACAATGGTTCCCAGACTCACATACTAAGACTCTCCATAAGAAGTCTTCTAACAGCTGTCTGTCTCCTTAGGGTCTGGCTTTCTACCATGTTGTAGAGACTGCTCTACTGCTCAGTTGGAACATCTTGACGAGATCCTGCCACTTCCTGTTTGAATTCAGGCCCTCAGAAAGGAAAAACAGCATCCTAAAGAAGAAACAAATTCTAGATATTTGAAATATCACTGGCAAGGAATACTTAGCCAATGACAGTCCAGGGAAGTGCCTGAGCACCTTAATAATTTACAGCTTTTCATGCCATATGGGTTCCTTGCTTATTTTTTACCTAGCCAAACTATGTTTTAAACTGTCTCATCCTAAAGTGAAAATGTGGTCTTCTCTTCTCTTAGAGATGAGTAGAATCCTTAATATTTAGAGAAATAGAAAAGCTATTGACTGCTTTAAAAATGGCAGTTTTTTTCAGTTTTCAAAAATATGAAGGTCAATGTTCAAACATAAAACCTGATGATTTCTATTCTATTTAAGAAAGTGGATTTGGAAGAGGCCAAGAGACCATTTCACTTTAAGGCAGGTTGCCTTTCTTGCTATCAATCTAAGCATGGGTGACAGGAAGAGATGAGATGTTAAAAGGAGATTTACCCTATTCTATACTAAAGAAAGAAAGAGATGTGAATGGAGCAGTATCCCAAAATTAAGGGGAAGTTGCAGGTTTTGTTGTCATAAAATAAGAAGAATGAAATTCAGCAAACAATCCACATTCTTCAACTAAATTATTCCTGAAGGGCATTCGCTATTTACAGCTTAAAACATCAAATATAGTTTCCTGGGAGATTTCTTCTTTTTTTTTTTTTAGTAATGGATTGTCACCTTGTCATCTGTCTCTCAGACTACTCTTCTTTAGTAGTTTGTGAAACCAGAGAACGAATCACTTAAATTATTTGTCCTTGTGTATCTTATTTTCAAAAGCAGGACTCCAGGGGCAGTTGGGAGATAAAAGAAAAAAAATCTATATATCTTATGTTCTATTAAATCACAGGGTAATATTTTTTGGTTAACAATAACACCATCTGGTCTGTTAAAAATTGATTTAATAAATATGCTAGGTGACATCAACTGCCCAGACAGATTTGCTCAAGGGACTAATGCCCAGAGTTTGAGAATCTTTGCAGGACTCATTAGTATACATTTGACGGAGGAATGCCCTCTGAATTCTAGGTACCCATAGGGCATTTGCATATCATGGAGCTGAGGGGTTGTCCTCAGAGAATTACAGTCGGATCCTTTTCCTCAATATTTGTTCCCCTCTAGGGTCACTTGTCAGCCTCCTTTGCTTTTGAAGAGGGTGAGTCATTTTTTTTTTTTTTCTTGAGACAGGGTCTTGCTTTGTCGCCCAGGCTGAAGTGGAGTGGTGCAATCACGGCTCACTGCAGCCTTGACCTCTGAGGGCTCAAGTGATCCTCCCACCTCAGCCTCTTGAGCAGCTGAAGTCACAAGTGCATGCCACCACTCCTGGCTCATTTATTTTTATTTGTATTCTTATTTTTTGTAGAGACAGGGTCTCTCTATGTTGCCCAGGCTGAGTCATTTGATTAAACATGCAGGTCTCTGCTTTAGAGAGACCTCTGCATTTTTTTGTTAGGAAAACTACCATCCTGAAGATTGTCGATTCTATCATTTATCCAAAAAAAAAAAAAAAATGAGATTCTGACCAGTCCAAACACAGAAGTCCTTGCAGTAAGAGTGGGGTTGTGACTTGCATCACAATAAAAATAGCATTGAATATACTTGCTGCAGATAATTTCTAGCAAATAATTTGTACTTTATAATCCTATTTTCATTTTATCAGTTCGTCTGTGAATTTTACCAACAGCATTTTAATCCTTTCTGCTTTCTAAAGGACTAGAGTTTTGACCAATCTGAAGATCTTTGAGGGAAAGGTTCAAGAGTTTTGCTAATACAGAGCTGTTTCAACATGTTAGCCAGGATTAATCAGCCCTTCACAGGAAATTTTTTCTTATTAAAGAGGAAACCTCACCTGTTTGGGTCACTTACCTTGCAAACAAACTTTCTTTTTCATAGGAGAAAAGCCTGGTGTAATTCCAGGATTTCATTTTCCCCGCTTTCTTTCTTTCCATGTGCTTATTTTTTTGCTCAAGTTTCAATATGCTACCCACAGTCATGTCTTCATTTATGCCTTTTCTAATTTCTCCAGAGGATTAGAGGTTTCCTCTTAAGTTTCACATGTTTCTGTATGAGGAACCAATCTCTATTATAATGCTTAACACAATGTATTACAATTATCTTTTATGTGTTTTTTAAAAAATAAACGTGAACCTAAATATTGAGGACTATGTATCTTTTTTTCACATTTCTATGCTTTTAGCATAATAGTACACGTTTTCTGAATGTTTCTTACATGAAAAATATTCCTTTGGTGCAAAAGACTCTAGCAGATTGTTTGCTTCCTAACACAGAAGTTTTCTTCTTTACAGTGAATTTCCATGCCCAAGTGTGATTCCTTTTCATTTTGTTTCAGTGTGGTTTGAATTTTTCTGTGTGCATTGTCATTTTCTTATTCAAATATAATTAACTGGCAGCACAGTTAACACTAATAACAAAATGAGTAATTAGTGTGATGTTTGCTAATGATGTTCAGTTTTACTGCCACCCTGCCTTTATTTTTGTTACTAATGGACCTTGTACTTGTCATGATTCTCTACTATAAACTCTATCAAGAGAAGGATACCAGAAGAGCAGGCATACACGCCTGTACTTTTTACTCAGAGGGAAGGACACACATCTCTAACTAGAAGATATCTAAGGTTGCACATAGTCTTTTAGTGTTCTGTACTCCATTGTATTCTCATCAATATTGTAGACATAAAGTGTGTTCTCATCAAGAAATAATGCAGCAATGGTCTTATGTAGCAATTAAGCATCTCATTAAATTCTGTAGACAACTCTTCACAATCAGATGTTTGAAAGAATTTAGGTCTATGTAAAAGATGTCAGGCACTTTTTACCTCTTATTTTTTTCTCTGTTGCTTCAAATATAGATCTCAAATACAAAGTAATGCACTTTTTAAAAAAGGGTTAATGAGATTTAGGGCAAATCTATCACTAAATTGTGCTCTTTATGTTTGTATATGAAATGGATACTGTTTCCTTAAGAACCAACTTTTATTTTTATTTTGGTTTAAGTTGTAAAAGGACTTCCCTCCACAAAATTCCTTTTGTTGGGTTTTATATTCCATATCATAGGAATTTTTATAGCATTTATTGTGTTATGAACATGATTGTTTAAATTTTGTTGAAGATTACTTACATATATATAGAAATCTATTTTCCACAGCTAGAATGAACTTCTTTTGAGAAGAGGGATATAGCTTACATTTTTTCATAAAATATAAAAATATTTTATTATATTTATATTCTCAGCAGTGTTTATCACAATGCCTGCCCAAGGAGAATGTTCAATAAATACTTACTGATTGATTTACTAACTTTACCTTCCAAGTGGTGTTTCAAGTCATAAGTGCTATTTTAAACTTATACTTTTTTTTTTTTTAATAAATACCATTGCCGGGCGCGGTGGCTCAAGCCTGTAATCCCAGCACTTTGGGAGGCCGAGACGGGCGGATCACAAGGTCAGGAGATCGAGACCAGCCTGGCTAATACGGTGAAACCCCGTCTCTACTAAAATCTACTAAAAAATACAAAAAACTAGCCGGGTGAGGTGGCGGGCGCCTGTAGTCCCAGCTACTCGGGAGGCTGAGGCAGGAGAATGGCGTAGACCCGGGAGGCGGAGCTTGCAGTGAGCTGAGATGCGGCCATTGCACTCCAGCCTGGGCGACAGAGCGAGACTCCATCTCAAAAAAAAAAAAAAAAAAAAAAAAAAAAATAATAATAATAATAAATAAATAAATACATACATACATACCATTTAGGATTTTTTTTTTTGCTGTGAGACCACATAGTGTAATGGTTAAGAGCACAGTCTTTAGCGTCAGGTTACTTGGGTTTGAATCCTAATCCTACTATGTTTTGAAGCAATTATTTACCTCTCAGTTCTTGAGTTTTCTCATCTAGATAGAACTTACCCATGGAATTATGAGAATTAAACGAGCTAAAATATATGCAATATACCCACAAAAAGAGTTTGAGATGTATATATATATGTGTATGTGTGTGTATATGTATACACATATATATGTATGTATACAAAAAGGATTCTGTAACTCCGCAAGTTTCTGGAAAATAGTGTTGAAAGGAATTTTTGAAACCAGAATGAAAAGAAATAAGAACAGGGTCAGAAGGCATGGTTTGAGCTCAGTTGTGAGACTTCTGAAGTGACTTCATTTATATAACATGCTTATAACTTTGCTACTAACTTCAATGGTGTTTTAAGAGTTCAGATAGAAAAATGATGATTAAGATCACATTGTAAACAGTGAAGCACTGTTGGTATGTTTGTGATCATTATTACCTCCAAATGAGGAACTGAAGTCTATTTCATGGGCTTTGGCAAGTCACATTCTTTCAGTGCCTGTCTCACATCCGTAAAATGTGGATAATAATAGAACTCAGTTCATAGGACAGCTATAAGGATTAAATGAGTTAACACCTGTAGAAAGTGGAGAAAGTGTTTGTAGATAATATGGGGTAATAAGGGTTATCTATTTATTATTTTTATGCTTATCCAATAAACACTTGTGATCCAGTACTAGTCTGTGTATATTGATAATGATTCCTGGGGGTATTGTTGAAAATATTGACCTCTTAGCTAAAGGTTCTGATTGGTAGTTTGGGGATAGATCTGAGAGAGTGAATAAGAAAAACGTCTGTTGGAAAATTTATTAGCTTGGTTTTCCTACGTTGACATACATCTGGCTTTAAACTTCCTTATATCT